GAAATTCATTCTTGTCCTCCGAGCCTGTCGTTCATTGATCTAGGTTGATGTGGAGGTATTTCCGAACTAAAACTTGAAATGTTTGATTTTATGTGACAAAACAAGATGTCGTTTGTATCACAAAGCAGTAGTTGACTCAGATCACCTCACTAATGTGAAAATGACTTTTGGAGAGAAGGGTCCAGTAGCTCACGTGTTTCGTTTCCTTTACGCTTGAAAACGTTTGACCAGATGAACACTTTCTGTCCTTTTAGAATTAAAGGAATGCAGATTGTGCAAAAGTTGGTTTGTGTGTTTATTATATTCTCAAAGTTAAAACATATAAATAATAATTTATTGTATTTACTGGTCAATTTTGCAGCTTATGTTGGCCAAGACCTGCTCACTTCACAAGTTCTGACCAGTATTATTTTGAGATACTATTATAGTTTATTATAGAATATTTTGAATTATTTTGTTGTTTGTCGTCATTAGTTTTTATTTTTAATATGTCTAGTTTTTTTTAATGAATTTTTATTTTAGTACATCAAATGAAAATGAGAAATGTTGCCTGGGCAAATAGCTGAATTAAAATAAGTTGACACTTTTTTTTTCCCCATGGTTTTAGTTTTAGTTAATATTAACTCTGGTTCTGACAGAGTTATCATAGGACCAACCATGGTTAGTTTAGGACCAGGTAAAGCTGAAACCAGTGATTTGTTCTTCCTCACAATTGTTCATTCTTGCAACCTTGTTCCTTGTAAACTTGATTTTGTTTCCAAAAGTTGTGCAAAACGAGCCAATCAGATAATAGCTTGCCAAATAGAGGAAGTGCATGCAATTTGTGTGTGTGGTTGTGTGCGTGCAAATATGCATCAGATGGTCCGTGGGTGTGCCGTCTGAGCACTAGCACTGAGACTAACTGTGCCCCACTTCTGTATCAGACATTGCAAATAGGGTAAAAATGAATAGATTATCTCTGTTCAGCCAAAAAAAAAACCTTCCTACAGGAAGTAAAACTAAAAATGTACCACATTTCGATATATGCGTCAGTTCAGTGTCTTTCATTGCCAATGTCACGCCTTTTGTGTTATCAATTCTATGAAAGACTAAATCAAAATGAACCACTATAGATATTTTTAAAAGATACATATTTAATTATATCCATTGTTTTTATATATATATATATATGTATGTATGTATATAGATTCTTAGAGGTGTGTTCAGTTAAATACCTTGGATTTTGGATGTCAATGTTAACTTGGGTGTATTTTGAATACAAAAGAACATGCTTTTGCTCAGTTTGAATTGCTCATATTGACTTGAATGTTTCTGTACATGCTGTTCTCAAACACGGGTGTGGGTTGTGTCACGATTTACACGATCGCATGTATTTCCTCTGTTCTGCCCATGTCATTGCTGCAGGTGGAGTAGCGTTCTCTTCTACCTCGCTTGAAATAGTGGCAAGTACACTCGTTCCCTAATCTTTTTCAAAGGACTGCTTCCAGTCTCACCCACTGTGAAACATTAATGCTGAATGGTTTTTAATGACGTAAACCGCTCCAAAACAAGAGCGTAAAAGGGCGTGCTTCGTTCCCATTGTGAGTTTCTCTTTTCCTTCACCCTCGCTCATTCTATCAATTGCTGCCAGCCACACACACACTCTCGCACAAACTCCCAGGGGCAAAATAAACACTGAGGCTCCCCATACGCCACGTGCCAGAGGAATCGTCACTGACAGGCAGGAGGAACAGCTGCTCGACTCGCTCACAGGTGTATTTCTGAAGTCATACTTTAGAAGACCACAAAGTTAATTCTCTCTCCCCCGATAGGTCACAGCTGACAAAAAGATCACGTTGCTTGTGTTATCAAGTGCCACTGCATCGATTGCGGCACGTTATGACTCGATGAGAGTGACTCAAACAGTACAAGCTGCAATTGCACTTTACCCAAGAAAGATTTGCCAGGTTTGCTGTGAGTCATCTAATGATATCAGGTGGTGTTGTCAGGTACCATATCAAGTGTAGATATTGTCTAGAATAATTCCTGTAAGGAGGCAGAAATGCTAGCCTAGCTAATTTAGAAGTACACTTTGTTCGGTGAGCACAAGTCGTGCAGAACTGCAGCTCAGCCTGTACTATCACTTCAGTTATACAGGCTGCCAAAAGCGAATGCCTTCTTTAATGCCAAAACATTGGTTTGTTTGTTTGAGGGTCCTGACTTGCCTTACACAGCAATGTTGCCTCAACCAATGATGTGAGATTGGGGTGTGGCTATCTGTTTGGCTGACCAATGGCAAATGAGGGGATGTGTCGTAATTTTTGTAATTCCGTTTGGTGCTGCTTAGTGGCGCAAAATTACTTCACCTGTAATCAGTGCTGGGGCAAGTTACTTTTAAAAGTAATGCATTACTATATTGCGTTACTCCATATAAAAGTAACTAATTGCATTACTTTGTTACTTTTTATGGAAAGTAATGCATTACGTTACTTTTGCGTTACGTTTTGTCACCTAAGTTTGACTTGCTTATTTGTTTTTTAATAACCAAAAAAAAAAACTATTTTGTTGAAAATTTAAAAGTAATGCGTTACTTTTCTAGTTACTTGAAAAAAGTAATCGGATTACATAACTCACGTTACTTGTAACGCGTTACCCCCAACACTACCTGTAATACTGCAAGAAATGTATTTATTTAGTCAGGTAAGTTCAAACTTTCAACTGGAAAAACTGTAAGCAAGGCAACTTAAGGCATACATTACTCAACTTTTAAAATCTGAACAGATTTTAAAACACTAGGCATCATACACTTACCAACTTTGTAAATGGTTACTGAAAAAAACACTGAATGACTCAGGATCACACACTACCAGACTTTCAGGTCTTTCCGAACATATACTCACGCAGAAACACTGAATGATAACGGTGTTCTAAAATCAACACAAAATATCAAACATATTTGATATTCTCTGACTGGTTGGAATCATAAGCTGCACTAGAGAAAAACAGCTCGAAATCAGCTCCAGAGATCACATTTGTCAGCAGCATACATCATCAAGGATGCATTATTTTTTTTTAAAGTAACCATGATAAAAAATTGACTCTTTTTCCTAAATTAATGCAATTATTTTGCAATCTTTGGAGGGCACAGTCTTTGAAATGAGACAGCAATAGTCTGAAGTAAAAAAAAAATTGAATCTGCACCCATCATACAATAAGCTATCTTCCATGAAAATCCGCAGACTGGCTTTGACTTTAGACAACTAGCGTTGACTCATCCAGACTGAAACCAGGGCAAAAATCTGTGCAAAAGTTATGTAGTGCATTCCAGCCTTTACATTCACAGTGGGTTTGATTCTGAAAAAAATGCCGACAAATTGACAGAGAGCCTTTTGTTTAAATGCAAGGTGGAAACATAAAGCAAGAAAACTGAATCCCAGTTGAAGCCACAGTCTTGTGGGCTGCACTCGACATAAGTTGCAACTTAAAGTCCCTACACAAAGTCCTTTCCCGATCCCATTCCCTCTCTTGTATCACTTCCTGTCTCTACTTAACTAAG